GGAGCATCCCGGTCAGAGGCAGCTTCAGATATAAACACTGAACTAAAGAAGCATGTGAGATAATTATTTAATCAGCTCTGACATCACGTCTTTTACTGCGCATGCATGTCACATCAGCGCTGTGTTGCGTTCACACAGGGGTCTGATACAGGTCACATTTAAAATGTAATGTGAACGTTCACACAAAAAGATCGGATTTTTTCAAAAAATCAGAACTGAGCATTAAGACCTGCAGTGTGAACGTAGCCTATGATAAAAAGTTTTTTTTTTACTTCACTCTGCACCCTTTTACTGTACTTCAGGGTATGATTTACTTTGTTTTTTTAATGCTGTATATGGATGGTTTTGTTTTTAAGCATGAAAGAAAGAAACAAATTAATAGACATCTCTTAATATATTTTGACAATTCAAAATACCTATTTAAGAAACTGTATCTCTAATTATATTCTGACTTGTATAAATACCATTAGACTTATCATCATGTTGTATGGAGACTCCAGTTCAAGATATTTTAAATGTATCTTTGGATATGAGATTCACTATATAAGATTTAATTAATGCAAATTTCAGACTTTTTCATGTTCTGTAAATTGTATTTAAAACAAAGCTGCTGCTGTTGATCATTCTGTTTTCAAAAGCCCCACCCCCAAGGCCAGTACTCTAAGGGAAACACTTTTTTGAAGATGTTCTTGATAATACAATTGACTGTTAGTAACTCAGTCTACATGTTTGCATCTGTTTAATCAGATGTCATATATTATATACCTCTGTATAATCATGTTAATATTTTTGTAGTACAAAGTACAGTACACGTTTTTCTTATTTTATCAAAATTTGAACATTTTTGTTTCGGGCAGTTAACTTTTCATGTCGGGCAGGTAACATTTGTTGTAAAAAATTAAAATCTTGTCGAACCCTGTAACATTGACGCAGGCACTTTGTGCAAAGATATAGTGATGGGAATAAAAATTCCTSATTTTTTTCAGTTCAAGGTTTTATGTATAAGTACATAATACAATTCAACTGTTACCAGTTTCTAAAATGAACAGCAACAACTGAAGAGGCAGTTTTTTTCTCCAAGATATTTAGATAAAACTCTGCTGCTTGGCTGCTCCTTTAAACTCCCATCTGAATACGTCTTTTTAGCAAAGCCTTACTGGCAWTAAGTGCTGTATGTATTACTCCATKGTGAAGCTGATTTCCTGACAAACAGGGGGCAGTAGATTCAAATTTGTAAAATCTTCATAATCTAACAAAACAAAATTTTTCTTTTCATACCTGAGCATCCTCTCGCAAGTCTGTTGCCTCCTTGAGGGGGSCGCTGGCTTTTTTGAAAACTTCGTCCACCATCTTGATGCCTGTGTGTCTCAATGTAACATACTCCCTTCCGCGTCGACCCACTCTCCTCACTGACAGCCCTCGGCGTGGGGCCTTCCCATCTCCTCGTCGGTTGGTGATGACCACATGGACAAAAAGGCTGCTGTGTGGTAAGAGGTCTCCTGCCAGGCCCAGCAAGGGCACATTCCGGTAGCCAGGCTGTAGGCACTCAAAGGCAACAGTGTTCTGGCCAATGAAATCRTCTCCTATGTAGTCATCGTCCAACACCACAAAGCGTAACAAGGCCAGCTCAGGCATGTTCACCTGTACACAGGAAAGTGAAGCACGAACATGTTACCCAGCTCTGCACCAAAAATAAAAACATTAACACTGTTCGTCACAGCTTCAAATTTAAAATCTGTTCAATTCATCTTTAACATTAGTTTATAGGAGAAGGAATGGAAAAGTATTAATTACTGGGCTTGCCCATGCAATGGGCAAAACATTGCTCTACACCTCTAAAACCRTSTCTTTATTAGTTTTTATTTGGGKCTTGCCATGCAATGGCAAGATCCATTACTCTACACCTCTAAACAGGTCTCTTTATTTATTTATTCTTCATCCAGCACTTTTAATGTGGCTCGAACCATAGCAYGTACCCCCACAACAGTTACATCAAATTTCTGTCTTGAAGTGGAGAAGTGTGTTATTACTCAACATGTTCATTTGAGTTGCCATCATGACAAAATTTGCAAAAACCCGCCTCCCTGCAGCTGCAGCCGCTGCCCCTCGCTTTAAAAACAGTCAGGTGATCTGTCGCAGTTTTGTTGTGCTCGTGAACACAGGAGAAACGCTGCGAGGTCCTTTTAGAAATATAATATAGATAAAATAAAACGTAATCCTTGGTGGAAAATAGTCCAGGAAACGCTGAGGGCTTTCCCGGGAGGTGTTCACCTGAGCTGAGTAGACCACCCACCCACAGAAGTCAAGTCAAGTCAACTTTATTTATATAGCACATTTAAAAACAACTGCCATTGGCCAAAGTGCTTCACATATTGCAAACTAAAAACAAAGCATTGCTAAAAGAACACAAATGATAAAACCATAAAAACCAGACCAAATAAATAAGGAAACAACTCTCAAACTACATTAAAAGCTTTTGAAAACATGTTGTAGGAATGGGTTACTTATGCAAATAAGCCCACCTTACATCTTCCCATTACAAAGTTATGAGAGAAAATTTTACCAAGGTTTTCCTCATTAC